CTGCATCCTGGCTGGAGGTCGAATTCTTGGTGGAGTTTCAGCTTTTGGCATTCAAGAAAGTGAAACAGAGCAGACTGGAGGTGGAAAAACACCACAGCTTAATACATTTTGAAGGACAGTGAAAAAAGACCTTGGCCCCAAATCAGATTGTTCCTGATCTAAAATTAAAAGCGACTTAAGCCTTAGCATTCGAGAAGAGCGGCAGATAATGATTGTGAGGGTAAGGAGAGCGATTGCTTTGCTTTTCACCTCATGGCTGGGAGCAGACCTTTCCAAGATTTCTCTGGACAGGATTATTTACTGTCTTTAAAAAAAAAAAAACACTTTGCACTTTGCATGAAGATTTGCAAATGCCAGACATACGGCATGCGGGTGCCCAGCCAAACCTCTTGTGGTTAGCCTTGAAATGAGATCATTTCACAGTAAGAAGGAGGTCAGGTTGCAAAGAGGAGAATTCATTTGGCTGCATCAATATGTGGGCTGCAGCACAATCACAGAGCAAAAATTTGTTGCCCTGCCATAGCAGCAAACCTTGGACACAAATCTGAACTCCTTAAACATCTCCCATCTCCTACAAGTCCCTCCTGTACACTCCTTTCTGTCACCTTGCCAGCCACTCCTTAGAATGACACAATAGGATCAGAATTCCATCTTGTGGGACAGGTGGGTCATAAGAGACTTCCTGAAGTTCCCCTTTCAACATGCAACCAGGTGTCTTCCTTTGCCAACCCAACCATCAGAGGGGAGAGCCTTATCCACCCCTTTACCCCGAAATTAAGTCAATCAAGAGTTATTGGGCACTAGGGCAGAGCCAAAAATATATGTGGTATACCAGAAGCCTCTGCTGAAGCAGCCAGAACATGCTGAAGTCATTGATACTCCATAAAGCAAAGTCAGAGGCGGCTTCTCTTGCAAGACAGAAAACTAAGCATAGCCCTGCACTAAGCGAAGGGACGTTGTTAGTTCCCCAACTTAAATGCATTTGGATCTTTGTTGGAAAGACAAATGGATATGGGATGATTTGAGAGTAGTGAAAGCTAGTTCATGAAAACGAGTGGAAATCTGAGCTGGTACCAAGCCTTAGCAGGGCATGAGGCAGTTGAGATAGGGAAAGAGCTTCATAGGCCAGGGTTGTTGAGGAGACTCAATAAAGAGGCAGAATTTAGGATGGGACCATTTCTATGTTAGTCAGCTTTCTGTTACTATAACAAAATACTTAAGATAATCAACTTAAGAGAAAATGTTTACTGTGGCTCATGGTTTGGGAGGTTTCAGTCCTGGTTCCATTGGCCTCATTGCTTTGGGTCTATAACAAAGCTGCCCGTTATGGAAGAACTATGTGGTAGAGCAAGGCTGCTCACTTTGTGATGGCCAGGAAACAGACAGAAGAGCAGGGGTCAAGGTTAAGGGAATCTTCAAAGACATGCTCTCCTGACCGGAAGACCTTTTAAAGTTTCTACAACCTCTCAATGGCACCAAGCTGGGCTCAAGCATTTAACACCTTGGCCCTTGGGGGACCTTGGAGATCAAGCTGTAGCAATTTCCTTTCCCACTTCTCCTTCTGCACTGATTTCTATTTTGTTTCTGAAAAAATTTCATCATGCCCATGGGCTTTCTGAGGTATACCAGAAGCCTCTGCTGAAGTCATTGCTACTAGTGATGGCTTCTCGTGCAAGACAGAAAACTGAGCATAGCCCTGCACTAAGTGAAGGGGTTTTGTTAGAAATCCAATAGCCCAGAGATTAAGTATTACTTAATCAGTTCTATTACTTCAGTTTTGAGCACCACATTTAAGTTCTGTAGGAGCCTCAGCTTCTCAACTATGCAGGGAAGATAATAAAGCTCCTATGGCCTAGAGCTGTTATAAGGATTAAACAAAGTTAAGCATTTCAGGTACATGAGCATAAGATCTGAGCCATAGTAGCTATTTACTATTGTTATTCCCTTTCCTTTTAGAATTCTAAAATCTTATCTTAGAAACAGAGTGTGCTAGTGTCTGGTACAGAAGTGGTCATAAACAAACAAACAAACAAATATCACCCATTTACAGACTCTGCTCACCTGTAGATGGTCACCCAGGCCCTTCGACTTCCCTATCCATGTGTACCTTGGCTAAAGATCAATTTCTGGCTTTTTTCCCTAGAGAAGATGAAGGTACACAAATGACCCCCTCCAGTCATTTACCCCGATTTGTCGATTCTGGCCTTTTAAT